ATGGCGGGGCTGGGGTCGTTAGGCAACGAGCATCGGTCTCGTGGTGTGCGCAGGGCTTTTTCTTGATGTTTCTGTCGCGTGTAAAGTGAATACAGATGTACAAATATGTCCTGGCATTATGTGTATAAAAAAGAATCTTCACAGCACTTTTTAGGTTGCCTAGAGACGTACAAGTATCTCGTGCTTTATACAGAAAGAAATAAGGTTTTCGGCACACTGGGAGATACATTGCAAACTAAAGCAGTTCCTCCTGGCAGCACATGAGCCACCAGTGGGGAGCACCACCGAAGTACTTGGTGGCTGGCCGTGCACAAGGAGACACTTGTCCCCTGCTCCTCCTCTGCCTTTTACTGGCCCCCACTGTCCTGCAAGCTCCGTTTCGAAGGCGATGCCCTCACCCACCTCAAACCCACCAACGTTTCCTGGCTTCTCTGCCTCACTGCGGCCTCCTCCCTAGCACTGAGCTGAAAATGCAGGTCCTACGCCAGCCCAGCTCCTGGCCTGGCGAGGTGCTGCGGGATCGCCTCTCTAAACCCCTCTGAGGCAGCCTGCACGGAGGCACTGACAGGAGCCTGCATCCAACTGCCTCCAGCCTCCGCTCATCGCCACCCTGATGGGGCACCTTGGGGTGAAAGCAGCAAAACCACATTGCTTTGCTCCCCAATCATCCCGATCACCACAAACAGCAAGTGCTTTCCTTCAGTTTCTGTAAAGCTGCACACAAATAACATAGGTTTAGGGAAACGAGGTAGGAAGGGACTTCTTGGCTTATCAGATCCAGTCTCCCTCTCTTGCAGATACCACATCGTAAAGTTTTTTCATTACAAGCTCTGTCTCAAAGTGTGGGTACTTTTTCCTCTGGCTGCTCCAGCTGGTACCTGTTCCAGGTCCTCCTTTCTGTCATATTTTTGAGCTCTAATTTCTAGTCCAAATAACTCATGGGTAGTTTGAGCCCATTTGTTCTTGTTCACCTTTAGTGTACCAAGTCCTTCTCCCATTCTGGCAGTAACTTCCTTCAGAAAAATCACAGCCAATGTTAGCCTGCATTCTGATTTACCAGATCCAAGATTTACCAAACCAAGTAATTCTTTCACTCTTCTTAAAAGGAAAGCAATTAGTTTCTTGGAGCATCCTTCTCTGTATCAGTTGCATCTTCAGCTAATCTTTATGGAACACCAATGAGCAGAATTGCCCTCTCGTTTCAGATGAGGTCTTCCCCATTGCCTTGCTTATATGTTTTGTCTTTTGAAGATCATTAATCTCTCTCACTGTGGAATATTCCTTCGCTGTGATCCACTTAAAAAAAATCACATACGTAAAACCTACATGCAAGTACATGTACATCCCCCCAAAACAACAACCTACATAACATGGTAACAAAGACATGCCATACAATAACGTTCCCAGATATGACTGTAGCTGCTTTGAGGAAAATGTTACAGATACCTATGGCCCCCCACCCAATTAGGAGACCTTTTCCCAACAGCAACACTTCCCCAGTGAGAAAGACAGCATCTTTGAGTGACATGTGTACAGTTAATACAGGAAAATAAAGTCTCAAAGTTGTGAACCCATGGGTGTCATAGTTGCCTAGGATAACCTGCACTGGAGCCTATCCATATAGGAAGTCATTAAATAATGACTAATTTATGTTGGAAAGGATCAGATCTTGAAATGAGCTTGCAAGAGCCCACTTCCTTGCCATCAGCCAACCTACCAAGCTCACAGTACTCCCAGTCAGAAACAAACTTCCTGCAGACACTGGATTAGGCCAGAGCAATGTACATAGACCTAATTGTCACAACTCCTAGGACAGGTCAAGACATTTTCCCACAACTGGACTTTCAAAATCTTTGTATCCTGGGCATGTGTATTCCAGAAAATGATGTCCATCATTAAGCATGGCAAACTTGATGAAACTCATGAGAACCCAATGAATGTAACCGGTAGGTACCAGAATGAGCATATGAAAACGAGGGAGAAAGAACAGGAATATCCTCTAGCAGCAGGAAAACCTTCCCCCTGCAGTCAACACTCCGTAGCTAGGCCCTCAGTTCTGATCCTTGAAGAACATCTATGTAAGGTAAACCTGGGGACTGAAACAGGAAAGTCAAAATTGCAGACTCAGCACAGACAGTGATCTTGCAACATCTTACCGTTTTCTTCAAGCTGGCTATTCACCTTCCCCTTGCTAATTCCCTCATCCTTTCCTAAATGTTAATGCCTTTCTCTTTAATTATCTAATTGATGAACAGAATTAAATGAAACTTGGAACACTGTCTCCTAGCCTATCCTTAATCTGAATTTTACTGTTTCAGATTTTTAAAAAAGGGCTTTGAGTGCCTGAAGCCTTGTCCACTTCTTCAAAGTTGTCAAGTTGCTGTAATAAGAGGTGCGCTGTCTCCAGCAGGTGGCAACATACATCTAAATTATTGATGCATCATCATAGTGCTGGGACTCGTTTCTGTGCAAGTCACACAGAAAGTGAATTAGCCTTTGAGAAAGGCACTGAGTACAATATAAATGCGTATTTTTCCTTGAAACATCTAATAAAATATTTCATGTCCTAGCGGTATTGTCATCTAATTTTAAAATGTAATATAATACTGTTGTAATAATTTTGGTCTCCACTTAACTCGCCTGGCAATGAATAGGTGAGCCAGCACACCTCCTGCATCCCCATGGCATTGCTTTTAGTTCTGGAGAGCGGTGAAGGAGACCAGGGCAGGTGGAGCTGAATTCTCACGTTGTTTCTCTGCATATTTGTTCTCCACAAGTCACTTTAAAACCACACACCTCCAGTACTCAACATAAACTCCCACTAACTCCTACAGAATTTTTATGTGTATTTATTGCTATGGACTCAGAAACTAAGGAATTCCTGTTAATCGAGAAAGCTACATGGGAAGGAAAGTACTTGGGTGATTTTTCCTTTAATTTCAACTGGGAGCATTTTTTTGTGAAAAACAGAAACCTAATTATACAACGACTTGGACTTTATGGCTACTTATGCCTCTGCAGAGTTGTTAGAGAATGATAAAAAGCAGCACTTTACATCACAGATAAGAGTGACTAGACAATGTATGCCACCAGGGAAACGCTGGCACAGGCTTCACCTTTTTGCCTGCCACTTCTTTTAAGTGCTAATTGCACTTGATTTTTCCCAGGAAGGATATACGCGCAGGTGCATGACAAAATGCCCCGTGACTCAGCATTAGTTGTCTTTCTCCTTGTGATTATGAAAGCAGCAGCCCAGGCAGCGGGTGGATCTTGACTTCTTCAGCAGATATCTCGGCATCTCGTGATCCTGTTTGCTCCGGCGCTTGCACGCCACTTCAGCCCCTCTCTTAATCTAGCTCTCCACCCATCCTGCCCCTGTTCATGGTGACATTGTCTTCAGTTTTCATCAACCTTCTTTTTGTTTTCTTATTGTTTTATGTTTCCCGCTGTGAAAGGATTCAGAAATGTGATCCAAGAGCACCGTTTGCGAAGGGAGTGTATTGACATACACAACCCGTTTGAACAAACTCAGGCGAAACCAAAGGCCTAACCAGGCTTTGCACCCATAAACCATGTTTAGAGTAGCTGAAATATATTTCTCTCCAGCTCTGGAAGAAGGAAACCCTGGTATTTCTAAAACAAAGATCTGCCAATTCACACAGCGTGCAATGCTTTATTTTAGGCAAAACTGAATAGTTCAGTAAGCTTTGCAAGAAATAGTGGCTCCCATTCTGTGTCCTGTGTCTTTCGGGCAAAATGAGAGGCTCTGTAATTTGGTTTGTGGCTATTTGTGGCTGAAATTACAAATGAGATCAACAAGAGAAGCAGAAAATGATGGTGTCTGAGGTGCCCTATTCCTCAGGAGCCAGTGCAAGTCAAGACCACTAGGTACATAAAATCTCAGTATCACACTTTCCCAGTATGACAACACTGCCTTTAAGAGGGGAAACTTTATGGAATAGTTTGAGCAGATCCATAGATTTGATCCCACTACAAGAGGCAAATCCTAGTTTCCTATTTCACTCATCATCTAAATGGGCACAGTTAGCATTTTTAATGTAAGTGTGGACTTCTGTTTCAGTCTCAGCAAGAAAGCAATAATAGAAATGTGCAGAATAGCAAGTATCTTCATCAAAATAGCTGATTTTTTAAATAAGAGGACTCTGTGCAGATGTGCAAAGTTTGCTGAGTGCTGGGAATCACATACTGCCTAAATACATAATTTGAATTTCTACTGTTTATCTAATGAAGTAGCTTTTCTCTTTGTTTTTAATAAGAAGCTACAATGATAGTGCAGCCCAGCTGAGTAATGACTGAACACTAACAGTACCTGAAGCCTATATTTGGCCTGCCTGAAAGGAGTTTGATCTTCTGCGCTTAGTTCCCAGTGTTTAAGCATTCATTCCATGAGGAATCCCATCATAATTGGTACTAATTTACATTCCTGGGAGAGAGGCCAAGCACAGCCCTGCAGACTGCACATGACCCACTCAGCCGGGGAGCTGATGTTGGCACGAAGCGTGCCGGGGAGGCAGCGCGCGATGCGGTGTCGCCGTGTGCCTGGTAGGGGCACAGAGCCTGTCCCCAGGGCTGTTGACCCGGCACAGCAGCTCTGTGAACAGGACGGACTTTCACTGCATGAGCAAAATCTTAGAGAAATCTTACAAAACTAAAACGTCTGACTCCTTCTGTCTGACTCCTTTCTGCATTATGAAACCATATCTACATCTTCTGTTTGCTGTCGGAGCAAGGCAGGACCTGGGAAACAAACCTGTGGGAGCTGCCCTGTTTGTTTGCTTAATCACTTAGTTTAAATATAGATTAAAAATCACTTAAGCTCATCCACAAGCTAAGTACAGGCCAGCCAATGGCTGTCCGAAACTGCAGAGAAACCACAGTCCCAGAAGCAAGAGCTTTTGGGAAAGAAGGAAAAGGAATTCTGTCACTGGTGCTGGCAACAGTTCATGTTCCTACTAGCCCTCTATTCCTAGGTAAGCAGCAAAGAGGAAACAAAAGCTGCCAACTTCTTTTCATTTCTTCCTTCTGCTGCTGCTGGCACTTGCCAGAAGTCAATAATTCAATGGATAATCCCCCTTTTACATGTATTTCTCCCAAATAAATGGAAATGTCACAGTTCGTAAAATGTCACCACATACTTGAAGCATGTGCTAACTGCTGTGGGATCTGTTCTCGCTTTGCTCCCTGGCCTTGCTCTGGCAGAGGGTGTCACCCAGCTGTATTCCTCTTGACGGTCCTGCCTGACCTACAGCCGCACCTCCCCTGTTACTGAGGGTCATCTGTCCCAGGGATTTCTGCAGTCATTCAGCTGGCACCAAGCAGCACTGAGCAGGGGGGCCCTGGAAGGAGCTCTGTGCAAACCGACCCACTGAATTAGCAGCTGCTTGCTGAAGCAAGACTGCCCAGCATGAAGTTCTAGCAACAGCCTAACTCATTTTACTGTCCCCATTTTTGTTGGTATGGAAATGTTAAGAAAAAAGTGCAAAAGAGGGAGATTTAAAGCAAACTGCTAGAGCCAAGTGCAAAGACGAGGTGCTGTTGCCCGGTGCCATTTTCACGGGTTATCTCTGGGCAGGGCATCTGCTTGGGAGAGTGGGACCGGCCCAGGCTCCTGAGCCTGAGGAGGTGCAATGCTTAGGGCTCTATGGCAGCCACAGGGAAAATCATTTCAGTTTGTGCATGGCTTAGAGACCTCAACATAGTGTTCCTGAAGGTGAGACCCTTGGAGGGCTGCTCAGCATGGATGTGAGCAATGTGGGAGGCTCACGTTCTGGGATGCCTCCTTGTAGCACGATGCTGTCTGGTGCAAGCAGGTCCCTTGTGTCTCAAGCCCAATGAAGGACGCTATGGAGCTAAAATGGTGTTGCTCCTTGAGAGTCTGAGTTTAGCTTCTCTGTTAGGAAACAAGCCCACGTTCAAAGTTGATTTTGCAATGTTAAATATTGTATGCATGGAAAACTTTCCCTCCAGTGTTTTTCTCTCACTTGGTGGTGTTATATGGGTTGCAGTGGTTGCTATGATAGTGTGGCTGCCTCATTGCTTTCAAGTGGTCTTCTCCTGCTCTTTCTGTTTAGTTGGTTGTTTGCCTGCACTTTAGCCCAGGGCAGGGATGGAGACATCTTCTGTGCTCCCAATGCACAGTGTGTTGGGTGAGCTACTGGCGAGGAGTATAAAACAGGCAGTATACTTGAAAACCCTGTACAGGTCCACCTAGCTGGGAAAATACACTCCGTGGCTTTTGCCAGCAGGTAGCAACAGCCGAGCTGTGCCAGAAGAACCCGCTAGCGGCAACCGCACAGGCAATGGATGTGATACCGGTTTTCGATCTGCTCTCACGCTGCTGACTGGCCCAGACGATCTTATCCCCGCGGGGCGACTTTGGCTGGCGGAGGTGCTGCTGGTGGCGCTGCCAGGGGGATAGAGCGGCTCCCTCTGTACGGGGAGTGGGGCTAGCACTGGGACAGGGGCAGTCACAGAGGCAGGGACAGGGGCAGGGGCAGGGACAGGTAGAGGGGCAGGGACGGGGGCAGGTGCGGGTGCAGAGCACGGCCCGGGGGCGGCGCCGCGCGAGGGG